AGGGAGAATTCAGGAAAAATTAAGAGTTTAAATACCCAATAGAAATCGCTAAAACTTGCAATGCAAGTAATAGTAATGCAAGATGGAATTCTGCTTCTCAAGAAATAGTATTGAGAAGGCAAGTAGCTTTTTGTAAATGATTTCCATGGAATTACAGATGAGAATTTTAAGACTTTACATATTTGCTTCAATTTTTACTAATATGGAGACATGTTTAAAGAGATACTTGAATAATTTGGAATTTTAAGATATTAATTTAGAAGTGTTTACAGAAACATCTTTGTGCAGAGAAGAACCTGAAAGGAGATCTCATTTAGTTTTTTTTTTTTTTAAGATTTATTTTTATAATGTTTTACTGACTTACCTAATGGTCAGTGGAGGGAAATACATTGGTATCTAATTAAAGTTTAGAGCAGTGAAACACACCAGATTAAAGAGCCCTTGCTGTGCCATCAGGATTATAGTTCACGTCATAATTTTAGAAGATCTCTGAGTAAGAAAATATATACAGTGTTTGGACCTCAGGAAAAATTAAAAAGCATAACGTACCATGTTGCTGAAGGATTTTGCAGTCCTCTGTTAGTAACTTCCACTGATTAGGTAGATGCATTCAGGTAAACCATAGTCCTTATTTTTTCCCCTCAATTAAGTAACTAACATAGAAGTTACTTCTCCTTGCTTTCTGAGATATGCCTGAATGACACGCTCTTCCCAACCCCTTCAGTCCCCTGCCTTGAAACAGACCACTTGTAAAAGAAATTAGGTAGGCTAATAAGGAAGTGTGGTTTTTAAGAAAAGGAATTTTTCAATCTTCTCACTAGCATATAGGCACATGTTATTTTCCTCCTTTGTAAAATGGGATTACTACTGGCCCTACCTCATAAGGGTATTATGTAAGAACTAATTTGTAGCTGTTTCAAATCATGAAGTACACAGTATCCTAGATGATAGAATATTTATAACTTTTATTAGATGCTTAATGTTCAATTAAGTAATTTTGATGCAAAAAGTAAAAACATCCACTTAAAAAATACCGTAAGAATTTTCGTATTTTTAAACAAGGCAGTTTTATAAGTCTTTTAACATTAAATACAACTGCTCCTGTTTTGTTTTGTTTATTTTTTAAACTGAGGCTTTGGAATATTTTGAGTGAGTAGGTAACCTCTAGGAAATCAGAAAAGGTTGAAATATGTTTTCTAATTAAATGCAGTGCACATTCCTGGATCACTTTTCAAAGACTGGTCAAAACCTGCTGTGTTAAAATAACATATGCTGTTTTTCATGAGATTGTTGATGATGTAAATAAAATGTGTAAATATATTAGTAAATGTTAATATTCATGTATTTTAAGTTAAGATTACAAGATTTGTCACAATGTGATTTTTTTTTTTATTCAAGTGAAAACAGATGTGTGCAGCTATTTTGAATATTGGTTTATAAACATTCATATTCTTTATTCAAATGAACTTGTAGTTTTTTGTGTTTCATTTCACTGCTACTAACTTGAAAGGGACATTTCAAAGGACTGGTATCCAGGACTGGCTCCAGATTCTGTGTCCCTTTCTGTTATGCCACATACATCAAATGGCAATACAAGGTTAGAGTCAGTTGAGAGCCTTAGGAATTTAGGAGAGGAAAATCAGAATAGCTACCCTGGAGCAGTTACTTAAAAGATTAGATACTAAAAAAATTTATAAATGCAGAGTAACAATTTGAAGGTATTTTTGAGGACTTATTTTTATAAATTATCCATCACTGTCTAAAAAATAAGTTACATTTTTAGTACTTTCTCTTCATCTTTGCTTATGCACACATATTGTCACATAATGGAATTTATAGTACCAAGTTGGAGGAGTCTTTTTTCATTTAATTTTATATGAAATTGTTTTTTGCAAGTTGCTTTATTTTTATAATTATGGTTTATAGTAATTTATTTTTATAATTTTATTGGCTTCATGATGATTGAATTGATATAACCATCTCCCCTGTTACTATACTGGGAAGTTTTTTTTTTTTTTTTTCCAATATTAGGCACCGTTATAAATTGAGGTATTACTACTTTTTCTTTCTTTTAGATTACTTATTTAGGATAAATTTCTGAGTCTGAGATGAGTAAAGGGCAGAATTTATTTTCATGACTATGTTTTGTCATTTGGGGACAATGTAGTAAAATGAAAGTGAGGCAAACAAATCAGCTCCCCTCCTGCTGCACACTCTTGCCGCAAACCTCTCTCCCAAACCAATTTCTCGAATCTGAGAAAATGTCTCAGGACCCTAGTATTTTAGCCAAGTTTAGGTTATACGGAACTCTTTAAAAATGACAATTCAGAGAGATCACGATTAACCTAGTTTTGAGGAAATTTAAGTGTACTTCTTGGCAAAGAAGAATAAACCGGTCTCGGGAGGGACAGAGGTGGCTGAGCCTTAATAGAAGTAGAAGTCATGTGGTGCTGGAAGACCTCGCGAGCGTTTGTCTGGTTTAATTTGGTATCTGGGAAAGACTTAAATATTATGAGGTCCTGTAGCGGTTGTCATCGAACTTTTTCTCCTGGTTTGGCTCAGTCTGGCAATTCCCGCCTCAATCTTTTCGATAGCCCGGCTACTTGTAAGTTCGAATTTGAATTGAGTGGTACTGATGAATGCTCGGAGAACTCTGTTGGTCTACAGACTTTACGAATAGAGACTTCGAATTTCCAAGAAACCTATGCACGGGTTAAATAACCGGTTGCAAAAAGTCAAACGGAGAGAACTCTTTCCCTTTAAATCCGTAAGATTTGGACGTGTTGTTCCCTCTTCTGCTATTCGCCTTCCGGTGCCGCCAAGTACCTTGGGTCCATTCTTATTACGAAGGCTTCCATTGGGTGCCAGAGTGCTCGTCTCCTAGCCTTGCGCCAGGATTGGTTGCTTGATATCTAGTCCTGGCAGGTGATTGGTGATTGGTTGTCTGAGCTCGTCCGGCGATTGGATGTCGGGAATCGAAGGGGTGGGAGGCGGGAATTCGTCTGGGAGAGCGTTGTTGAGAGGACTGATGAGAAATGGAGGGGGAAGGCTGAGCACCCCCGACCCTGCGATCAGGCCCGGGTAGTAGCAGCCCGCTGAGGAAGAGAGAGAGGCCTGTGACCCTCTTTGCCAGAGCTGCACTGTATTTCCTTGCGGATATCTGTTTTCTTTTCTCCCGTGATTCGGAGCCCAGTCCGCGGTGCTTCAGTTTTCTTCAGGACAGGCAAGTCTGTCTCCCCGGGGGAGAGCGCGAAGCCTGCGGGAAGAGTGCTTTCTGCTTTCGCCCAAACTCCCCGCTGGCCCCTCGGTGTGGACTGGATCACTAGGGACTCTGGGATCTCGACGGGCTGAGGGAGGAAGGAAGTGTGAGGACGAAAACCTGGGGAGAAGGGAACCTGTTCTCCGCCCCCGGGAGCGGAGGCCTGTTAATATAGCCGGGGGCCTCGCGCTAACTCTTGGCAGCTGTGGGCGACGGCGGGAGGCAGATAATCCTGATGTGTTTTTGTTTTTGTTTGCTTTATTCCATTGTATGGGGGAAGCTACCCCATTTTGAGATGCCTGTGGCCACAACTGGGGCTGGGGTTGGATTGACTTCCAGTTTATATCCGAGTAACTAGGCCAGCGTTGGGTTGTTGGTTCAGTTTAAAGGGTTGGATTCCACCAAATCTCATTCTCAGAGCTTCACAGAATCACAAAATACTAGAACTGGAAAATACGTTAGAATAGTGTTTCTTTTGGAACACACAGGCTATGGTTAAGGTTATTACTGGCTTTCTAATCAGTTGCATTGCTATTTCAACCATCCCTCCATCCCCAGATTGAGTTTACTATTTTTTTTCACTTTTGCAAAGTGATACCAGTGTATATCATTTACCCCCTCTTTTTTCAGTTATATCTTTAGTGTATATTTCTGGGAATGAGAAATCTAAGGACTCTCTTTTCAGAAAAATGAAGTCATGCACAGAAACTTCCACATGCAATAACAAGAGATCACAGTTGCTGAATTATATCTATGTATCTTAGGTTCAGAAAAGGTGGTTTAGAAGGGTGGGGGGATTAAAGTAGATCACTTCTGTTTTAGATACTGGAGTTTTGCGCACATTTCTGTACAGAGGGAGAAGCAGGCTCCCAGCTGAGCAAGGAGCCAGATATGGGGCTCCATCCCTGAGCCCTGGGATCATGGCCTGAGCTGAAGGCAGAATCTTAACCAACTGAGCCACCCAGGTGCCCCTCTACTTTATTGTTTTTTAAAGATTTTATTTATTAGAGAGAACTAGCGTGGGGAGAGACAGAGGGACAAGCTGACTCCCTGTTGAACGGGCAGCCCATGTGGGGCTTGATCCCAGGACCCTGAGATCTTGACCTGTGGAGAAGTGAGAAGTTTTTTTTTTTTTTTTTTAAGATTTCATTTATTTATTTGACAGAGAGAGACACAGCGAGAGAGGGAACACAAGCAGGGGGAGAGGGAGAAGCAGGCTTCCCGCCGAGCAGGGAGCCCGATGCGGGGCTCGATCCCAGGACCCTGGGATCATGACCTGAGCGGAAGGCAGACGCCTAACGACTGAGCCACCCAGGCGCCCCCCCACTGATTTTTAAATAAGAATTATTGGGCACCTACTTAGTGCCAAGGCATTTTCTCCCTCATAACAGTTTTTAAGTTAGGGGTTATTACAGATAAGGATCTTAGTTTAGAGAAGTGAAGAGACATAATCAAGGTAAGGTATATGAGTTGTTTTCAGAACCTGGTCTAGAGTTTATACTAACTCCTAGTCCACAGCTTTGGCACAGCAGGAATACAAATCCACATTTGTCAGATTCCAAGACATGCTGTCAACCACTGTGATTTATAAGACTAGGAAATTCTTTTACTTTCCCATTTGTTTTGCTTAAACACTTGTTCCAATTTTTATTTCCAGACATCTGTCCTAGTGTTGGATATCTGGTTTTCTTTGGTATTGTTTCAATATTGATTTTCATTTCTGTTGCAGTTAGGAATCTGAAGTAAATAGTAAAGCATTATGTCTTCAGTTTGGTCTGAATATACAATTGGTGGGGTGAAGATTACCTTTCCTTATAAAGCTTACCCATCACAGCTTGCTATGATGAATTCTGTAAGTATTTTTCAATAGTTATTTTAAGTCTTTATTAAGATACAGGTGCTTATAATTCATGAGACTACATTCATTTTTCCAGATAGTAAATGGATTGAAAATTTTTGCCGGGTTCATTGAAGAACATCTAAACTTGGAAAAATAATACTGATCACTGCTAAACTGTATCTGTCCATTGTTATAATGGAGACAAAGGAGAACATTCTGAAAAATGTTCTCATCTCAGTTGGAACTTCTATTTACTTTGCAGAATTAGTGCTTTCTACAAAATATTTGCTATACATTACATAGAACAGTATATTTCTCACCATAATTTTTTTGAGATAGTTGTCATATAGAAAATTAATATACAAACTTAAGTAAACCAACTTTGTTAAATCTGATTATTTTACCATATTTACTTTATATCTTGTTTGTGAGCAAGAGTATTTATTTCACATATTTTAAATGTTGCATAATGATATGATACTATACCTACCTGCAGAAGTTGACTTTTTTTTTGCTTAACATTTTTAAGAGGCCTGTTGATTGTTAATCCATTTTACTTGCTGTATAGTATTCCATTATATGAACGTACCAGAATTTTTTTGTCCATTTTCTTTCGATAGACTTTTAAGTTGTTTACATTCTTTAGCAATTATAGACAATGCTGCTATGAACTTTCTTATACAGGTTTCCTTGTGTTCATGTGTGAAAAGTTTGGAGTATATACATAGGACTGGACTTGTTAGAGTTGGGGATCTTCAACTTTCCTAGGAATTGTTAATTTCTGTACTGAGTGGTTTTAACAGTTTACACTCCAATGAGCAGTATCCTCCATTAAGTTTTCATCAAAGATATTGATGTGCTATATTCTAGTTTTACAGAAATGATTAAGGCATAAATTACTTTTTTTCATTTCTTTTTTGCTTGATATGCTTTTAAGGCCATAATAATTTTAGGGAGAGGTATAAAGGAATAAAGTTTAGGTTTTCTCCCTTCTGCTATTGCTGTGCTCCTAGAAGTGCAACCTTACTTCTCATTGTATTTATACTTCTGATAGAGAGAGACCCTAATGAAGTAAATTGTTTATTGATATTTTTGTTGTTTTTGTGTCCATAGATTGTCAGAGGATTAAATAGTAAGCAACATTGTTTGTTGGAGAGCCCAACAGGAAGTGGGAAAAGCTTAGCTTTACTTTGTTCTGCTTTAGCATGGCAACAGTCTCTTAGTGGTAAGTAGTTGGTTGATACCTTCAGGTTCCTTAGTGGGACCAGAAAAAAATATTTTAATAAAGTACTTTTTATCCAAAATGACTCAACCATGTTCTAGCTAGCTAATTTAAGTACAGATTCTCTTTTAAGGTATTTCTTTATAAGTTGTATATCTTCCTTTTTTATTTTATATTGTTTTATTTTATTTATTTATTTGAGAGAGAGCAAGTGAGCAAGGGAGCAGGGAGAAGAGCAGAGGGAGAGGGAGAAGCACAGGTTACCCGCTTGAACCAGGGAGCCTGATGTGGGGCTTGATCTCAGGACCCTGAGATCATGACCTGAGCAGAAGGCAGATGCTTAACCAACTGAGTCATCCATTTGCCCCAAGTTACAGAGCAAAATATGTTGTTAATTCTAAAACAGTTTTGAACACAGTATAGTCTATTTGATGATTCAGAGTCTAATAAGAATCTTGGATGCTTAGTTATTATGAAAATGATTATGATATTTTGTATGTAAAAGTGTAAGAGATGGGCCTGTCATGGTGCTATAACATACACAAATAATTGCTTTGAATAAATCCTTTAATATATTTCCTTATCTGTCCCTTCTTTATAACATCAGACCATAGAATATATAAAGAAAATATTCTAATTGATTTTTCTACTTGTTTGGATGCCAGATAAGCAAAAGTTTATTATAATATTGTTTTCATAAATACATATTATTTTCTATTACTTTTACTTTATTTGCTAACAAAGGCCCGTAACATTCACTTTTATGAAAGACTAGCTGATATACCTAATAAATCTGAAATACAGTATTGGATATATTTTAGTTACATAATTAGATGGATATGACCTAAAGCATTAGGAGAATTTAAAGTTAACCATGAGTGTATGTAGGTATGTACATATGTATTTTTATGTGTGTGTGTGTATATATGTTTTTTAAAAGGAAATGTGCTCCTGATAAGACTATTAAAGAATAAATATTTTATAACTTTTGTTGTTCATTTTGAGTGTTAATGATGTTACTCTTTGGGGAAAAGTGAGATAATCTGTTAATAACTTAAAATTTTAATGGGAGACTGAAAAATAGAATTAGTAATATTTATGTAGTACAGATGGGAAAATAATGTCAATACTGTTCATAGAAAATAGATTAATTATTCACCTTTTTTTAGTATCTGTGAACTGTGTATTTATACATGTAGGCCATTGCTTCTTGGCCTTTTGGCTAAGATCAAGGGTAGTATACATGTAGGCACACAATGTAGACCTCCGTAAGGTTATGTATTCTATTTAAGTATTAAAAATTACCTGTTTTATTTGAATATTGACCTTAAAATATATTTTGATACGTGTATCAGAATTGATACATCATGAAACATGTTTCTATTTGAAATAGATACATAAAGTGGGAATGATTTAACCCTTATATATTTACATTATTTAATGTATTGAGCTTTGTTTCTTCAGGGAAATAGTAGTAATTAAGAATATACTTTAGGTCTCGGGACGCCTGGGTGGCTCAGTCGGTTAAGCGTCTGCCTTCAGCTCAGGTCATGATCCCAGGCTCCTGGGATCGAGTCCTGCATCGGGCTCCCTGCTCCGCGGGGAGCCTGAGCCTGCTTCTCCCTCTGCC